GAGCACATCCAGTGGTTCTACAAGATGCACTGGCTGCCTTGAGACACTCAGCTCCCTAAGGTACCACCAGGGAATCATGTAGGCACCAAGCACTGTAATTATCATTTTTACTGACAACTGAGTTGGGGTAATATTATATTCCTAAGTAGCACTGATGAAAACATTGGATTATTTGTCATAAGAACACATTTTATTTTTAAAATGTTTAATAAAATTGAAACGAGCTTTTTAAAACTGTGTATTTTCAGCATTTCTACTGTTTGTCTAGTAAACTATAAGTGAGATAATCAAATTAGATAATTAATTTAAACCATTTTTTCAAATGAAAAACACTTTAAAGCTATAAAATGCTTTTAGTCTCTTAAAAAGATACTAGATTTCCTGTGATTATATGGCTTGGTCTACTGTAGAATTATTGACACATTTAATATGCTTGATGAGCCCAATATATAACCTAAATGATAAAGTTATTGTGGTATCATGTTGGATTATTAAATTAAGTCACATTGGTGGGTAAGATTCTATATTGCATTAGTCATAGTCTTGGCAAGAGGCTGGTGTCATTGTCCAACAGGGTAATTGAGAAAACTTAAGGAAGTGATTTTTACCAGAGAGTTGACAACTTAAATGAAACCAGCAATAGAAAGTAAAGTTGGCCAGGCGCAGTGGCTCACGCCCGTCATCCCAGCACTTTGGGAGGCTGAGGTAGGTGGATCACCTGAGGTCAGTAGCTCGAGACCAGCCTGGCCAACATGGTGAAACCCTGTCTTTACTTAAAAAAAAAAAAAAAAAAAAAAAAAAAAAAAAAAATAGCCGGGCGTGGTGGCGAGTGCCTGTAATCCCAGAAAAAAATAGCCGGGCGTGGTGGCGGGTGCCTGTAATCCCAGCTACTTGGGGGGCTGAGGCAGAAGAATCGCTGGAACCCAGGAGGTGGAGGTTGCAGTGAGCCAAGACCGTGCCATTGCACTTCAGCCTGGGCACAAGAGCGAAACTCTGTCTCAAAAACGAAAGAAAGCAAAGTCTCCCCAGGATAATAGTGGGGAGTTGTTGCCACACCAGGACTGATGGGCAAGGGGAGGAAGCAAGTATTAGACCCCAGGGAGTAACAGATAGCTTAAAAGAGGATTGTGTCTACTGCCAGCCCATGGCTTGGCAGGGAAGGTGCTGTGGGAATAAAACCTCAACCTCCCTCAACTTCTACTCTGTAATCTTTTGTCTATACCTATTGGTTGAAATCTATCTCAGTCCAGAGGGCAAGATGTCCTATTAGTTAAATTAAAAAATGTCAGCTTCTGGAACCACAGGGCAGGGTTGATCTGGCAGGATAAATAAAGAATATTAAAAATAGGAGTCAATAATTCATAATTAAATAGATTTCTGAAATAAACTTTTAATGTTTTAAATATGAAAACATGTGTTTTATAAAGTAAATTTAATTGATATCAATAAGGTTCATTCATTCACGTATTCAGCAGAGCTTTAGTGAATACCTACTATATGCTCTATGCTAAGCACTTAGTAAAATTTTTTTATATGATTCCCCTCCTCAGGGATTTTACCATTTTGTTTGAAATATAGATGTGAAAAATCAACTATTACAACCATACTGTAAGAGAAAATTTAAAAGAAGGAAGAAGAAGAAACTAAAGAGTGGCTTCTAGGTCAAAATAAAACACAAGCCAAGTGTTAAGGAAGAAGAGGGGTTCAACAAGTGGACAGTGGGAGAATAGGAGAAATAACCTTATAGGTACAGTGAGTAGTGCAAAGATACGGGGGCTCAAGAAAGCTTGGTTCAGGAAACTAGAACTTTTTCAGTTTTGCTAGAAGGAAGGAAAAACAAGTCTGGTCTAAATCATTAAGGTACTTTATTTGATAAGTTAGCAGTTGTGTTTTATACTAAAATGGATAAGGAGCCAAGGAGGAATTTTAAGCAAGGGAAAGACCTAAAGAGTTTTGCATTCAAGAGATATAACTGTTGTGGTTGTGTAGAGGATGCATGGGAAGAGCATAAAACTAGAGCGCAATTAAGAGATTATTACAAAATCCAGAATTGCCAAAGATTTTGTATTAGATTTATCCAGAGAAATAGAACCAATAGGATTCATATATAAAGATATTTATTAAAAGAAATTGGCTCACGTGATTACAGAGGGTGGAATGTCCCAAGATATACAGTCTGCAAGTGGTAGAACAAGAAGATCTGATGGTTTAGTTCCAGTCCAAGTGCAAAAGCCTAAGATTCAGAAGAATCAATGGTGTAAGTTCCAGTCTGGAGGCCTGGAGGCTAAAAACACAGGATGAGTGGATGCTTCCATTTAAGTACAAATGCAGGTAAAAGAACAATGTCACAGCCAAGACAGGCAGGAGGAATTCCCAGTTACTTGAGGGTGGGAAAGCTATTTTGTTCTGTTCATGTTTCCTGTTGATTGAATGGACCTGCCCACATTAGGGAGGACAATCTCTTGTACTCAGTCTACCAACTCAGATGTTAATCTCATCCAGAAACTCTCTCAGACACACTCAGAATAATGTTTGACCAAATGTCTGGCTGCCTCATGGCTCAGTCAAGTTGACACATAAAATTAACCATCACAGTCTTGATGGGAAGAGCACAAAGAATATATGCAATAGAAATTGGAGATCAAATGGCTTGGAGACAATAGTTAAACCTGATGTCCCAGAGTCTGTCATGAAAACCTGGGTAAAATGTGATCTTACTGACCACGGTGAGACACCCTGAAGGATAAGCAAATACAGGGGAGTTCAGGTTTAAAAAGATTGGGCAATGCCTGTGAGGTAAACCAGGACATGGGAGAGAAGTCTGCACTAAAGTAAAGATGAACTTTATATGGTTATTATAAACATTTAAATGGGCAACTTTTATATAATAATTTATTACTATAGCCAAATTATAACTACTCAATATGGACCATATGATTAAATATAAGAGAATTTAGCACACTAAAGTGATCTACCTTTTCCTTAGAAAAAGAATAGGTAAAAGCAATAGTTCATTTGTATTGTACGTGCAGATCCATTGTATATTCAGGAAATTAATATATTGATATTGAATGATTTAGTTCAATATTTCTGTTTTCTTTTTGCTTAGATGTTGTGCTTTTTCCATTTTCTGTAACTTTTCATACAGCTGTTTGGAAACAATAGTAATAACATTGTTGATTTTGAAGAAAATAATCAACTTAGGTAAATAGCAACTTAATAAAGGGTGATTTTAAAACCCCTTAATTAAATTATCTTTTATTACAAACTGTGTCTTTACAGATAGCATTTTCACAACTCTAGACCTTGCTACATATAAAATTTATATATTTTAACATATAATTGTATTATTATTAACCATATATAATCATTACCTAGTTAATTTTTCTTATGTAGGGCTATCTATGTGTGAATATTTTCTGTGTTAATGTATCATGGTGAAATGGATAAGTTGAATATCATTTGCAACATCCAAAGGCAAATTAGTTGATATCAGTTGCTTCCTTAATACTGAATTATAAAACATAATATAACTTTAAAGCAACACAGCTGTTTACAATGTCTCCTCATTTTTCAGCATCCATTCAGCTCATCCCCTCCATAGAGTGGTTCTATAGAAGCTTCCAAACACTCTTGTTTCCAAACTCCTCTAAAGCATGTTCTGTACCAAACAGGTAATATTTTTGTTAACTGTTTCACGTGTTTGTTTTAATTTTAACTGTAAAGCCAGAGGGTAATCTCCTTGAGGTCAGGGGCCTAATATCTCACTTTGAGCTTCTTAGCCCCTAGCACCCATATTGATTATAAAGTTCTGTGGTCTACATATTGGTAGATTTATTTATTTCTCCAGAGCCTTACTTAAAAAAGACTGAAAGGAAATGAGACTATATTTTACATAAGTTATTGCCAGATAATTTTAAAATGCAGCATAAAATTAAACCTACTGAAGAAATTATATTTTTATGCAAAAAAAGACAATAAATTTCTTTAGTCAATAATATTTCTATGTTTATGTATTTTCATAGACATTGTCATCTATCGGTATTTGTGGGGGATTGGTTCCAGAAACCCTTGTGGATACAAAAATCCTTGGATACTCAAACCCTTTATTTAAAATGCTATCCGTTTTGCATGTAACCTACGCAGATCTTTCTGTTCCTTTAAATCAACTCTAGATTACTTATGATACCTAATGCAATATAAATGCTATATAAATAGTTATTATGTTGTATTGTTTAAGGAATAATTACAAGAAAAATGTCTGTATATGTTCAGTACAGACGCAATCATTCTTTTTTTTCTCCCCCCCAAATACTTTTGATTCAGGGTTGGTTGAATCCATGGACACATTGCATACAGATCTGAAGAGACAACTGTATTTATGTCTAAACATAAAGTATTTATGTCCTCCTAAATTCATTACAAAGTAATATTCTATAAACTGAATTCCACCCTTTAACTTTCCTCAATAGTTAAAACAAAAACAAAAACAAAACAAACAAACAAACAAAACCTGAAAGGACTTAAATTAGGAATTAAGGAAAACCCCAGGTCCAGCAAACTAACTGTTTCATGTTCTGCAAACTTCTCCAGCTCTACCAGTACTGACACTGTGCTTCCATAGATGTGAGACCAATGACCTAAAGCCTTTATTGAGTACCCCAAAATTCCACTAAAATTTACAAAAGCAATTATATTCTCATTTTATTGATATTTGAAGCATAATTTTAATTTTAAAATGGCTAGGAATGTATCCTTAAGTCTTCCTAAAACATTCTAGAATCTACTCCCAGATGAAATTTTAGGGCAAGGAAGACTGTTGCTTACATCTAAATTGTTTTGTAGTTTTGTTGATTATTAAAACATTATTTTCAAACAGGAAGCATGATGCATAATAAAATTTAAGTACAAATATCTAGGTAATATTAGGTACACTGCTCCATTTTCACTAATTTTTGCTTGTTATTAATCATTCATTAATCCAACCGTTGCTGTCTTACCTTCACTGGAAAGACCCCATTTATCTTTCCAATTTCTCCTTCTTTCTTTTCTCCTCCTTACCTACAGGAGTGATAAAGAGAAAAAAAAAAAAATTGAATCCCAGTGTGATGCCGCTAGTATGTACAGAAAACCCTTGACAGTCATTTTCCCATCAGCAGCTTCCCTGCTGGCCAGCTTCTAAGTCTCTCCCACTTCCCTTCTCCTCAGGTAGCTGGCTGCTAGATGTTTACTGATTAATTTGCATCAAATGTTCTCCTAGCAACCAACACTAGGATAGGATTAGATACTTTCGTAAAAGACTGTTTTCTGTTAAAGAAGCTTAGACTTCCTGAACACCACAAACATAAACTAATAACATTTAAGCAAAGGTATAACGTGATTCCTTCACATTTTTTAAAAGTAATTTTAGCCAGTTGCTTTTTACTGTTGTTTTTATTTGGGGAAAATCAGCAATTTTTTTTTTTTTTCTATTTAAAAATTAGCATTTGTGAACACATTATTTTTTCTTTTCTTTTCTTTCCTTTCCTTTTTCTTTTCTTTTTTTTTTTTTTTTTTTTTTTTTTTGGTAGACGGAGTCTCTCTCGCTCTGCTGCCCAGGCTGGAGTGCAGTGGTGCAATCTTGGTTTACTGTTGTTCACTGCAACCTCTTTCCCGGTTCAAGCGATTATCCTGCCTCAGCCTCCGGAGTAACTGGGATTACAGGCACCCTCCATGAGGCCTGGCTAGTTTTTGTATCTTTAGTAGAGATAGGGTTTCACTACGTTGGGCAGGCTGATCTCAAACTCCTAACCTCAGGTGATCCGCCCGCCTTGACCTCTCAAAGTGTTGGGATTACAGGCGCGAGCCATCGCAGCTGGCTCACATCCCCATTTAAAACACAAATGATCTTAACAGTGCAGGAATATACACTGCATACTTTAAATAAAACCACAAAGAATTGGCCGGGCGCTGTAGCTCACGCCTGTGATTCCAGCACTTTGGGAGGCCGAGGCGGGTGGATCACGAGGTCAGGCGATTGAGACCATCCTGGCTAACAAGAGTGAAACCCCGTCTCTACTGAATATACAAAAAATTAGCCGGGCGTGGTGGGGGGCACGTGTAGTCCCAGCTATTCGAGAGGCTGAGACAGGAGAATGGCGTGAACCTGGGAGGCAGCGCTTGCAGTGAGCCAAGATCGCGCCACTGCACTCCAGCCTCCATCTCAAAAAAAAAAAAAAAAAAAAAAAAAAAAAAACCAAACAAAAAACACACACACACACACACACAGAAAGAATTTATGTCATTTTGTAATTATCAGTGCAAGACATTTAAATGAAAACAAATAGGTCTAGTTTCTAATGGCCTGTTATATAGAGAACACAGTAAATTTTCCTATCAAATGTGATTCATTTTTATTTTTGAATAAAAATAACATGAAACACAAAAGTTTTCATTAAGATTTACTTTAGCTGAAAAGTTAATAAACTCATTTTCCCTACTTCTCAAAAAGTCTCCGTGTCACCATTTACATATCAACTTTGATAACAATTTATAATGTCCAATTATTACTTAATAGAAAGAAAAGTCATAAGAGAAAATATAATATGTATAATAAATCATGCATAGTAACATTAAATACACTGACCAACAGGACATGATATCTTAGCAGGTCTTTGAAATAAGAGGAAGAAATATTTTATTATGCCCCATTAAGATTTTAATTTAGCAGAGAACAATACAAGAGTAGAAAGTAAGATATTTAGTGTGATCAATAACAGTTTCAGGCTTTAAAGTTATTAAGTTTAAAAGTGGTAATCTCAAGGCTGTAAAAAATTTTATAACTTCAAAAATCTAAGATTCAAAAAATAAAAACCTATAGTTTAATCATCTGGTGGAGATAATAGCATATTTTTCCTAGAGGTAAGAATAAAGCAGCAAATCCTTCATATGAAAATGCATTACCGATTCAGTTATGATGGTAATTACCCGTAGAATATTAGAAGACTGATATTTATGCAAATTTCCTTTTCCACTAATAGTTTATTGTTTTCTACGTGAGCATTTCTTAAATCTCACATGTGCTTTTAAGAAATCTGAAATGTAAATAATAACCACTTATTTCAAGTTTCAAGACATTTTAGTTAGGTAGTATATTGAAAATCTAATTCAAATTTCAGAAATTGCATATATAGATACTGTAACTTTTTAGCGCCTTGATAGATGATTGTAAAACAAATGATCTTCTAGGGTTAGAGACTTGGGAACCTATATTTGTTGAAGCCTTACTCTATACTAGGTACACTGTCAGATTTTTAAATAAACTGTCTCATATAATCATATCCAAAACAGTTAATGCAGATATTATCCTCAAATTATAGATCCTATCTGAGACTCAGAAATGTTAAATTGCTCCCAAAGACCACAGAACGAAGTGGAAAATCATGACTGTGGGACACCAAATCTGATTCCTTTCACTATATAAACAACCTCCCATAATTATGGAAGCAAAACCATTCTCCACCCCCCAAGTACTTTAGTTATTGATACCCAAGTTTCACAAAGTACTCAGCGAGACATGGCCTGGACTTTAAAATTACTACTTTCTTCTTCCCCTTTACGCTTATCAAAATCCCCACCATTTTCAGATAGCAATGATAAAAGACTAACCTGCATTAAAATATGAGGTTAAACAACCGGTTTTAAATGTTTATCTTCAGGTAGAGAATAAAATGGAATGTGAGTGGACACACTGAGTTATTGTGTGTCTGTGTGTGTGTAAATGATTGTCTTGCTAATTCATACATACATTCCCACACACACACATACACACCTCACACATTCATTCCCTCAAGGATGCCTTTCTCCTCCATCTTTGCATAGTCCAATGTAAGAAACACTCTTTGTTAATGAGATTTGAAGAATAGATGTCCCTGATCCATCCACTGACCTATCAAAGGGTTCCAGATCAATCCTGTGTGTTAAGTGATTGACCCTTGTTAAAACCATGGCTATATTGATAATGAATGAAAAAATGTAGAAGGAGAATAACCTGTTGTTACTGGCTGAATTTTGATCTCCCCTGAATAGCACCAAGCAAGAGATTCAGAGAGCAAGGTTTTGGAAAATGTATTATTACAAATACTTGTGTTCAATGATGTCACCCACATTCTGAAGAGCACATCATTAAGAAATATGAGCTAAGTGCCTACTTTCAAAACCTTGGCAGAAAAATAATGGCTTAAACTGCTATGAGGGGATGCAATACTAAAGGACAAAATGATTTTTATATGTGCCCTTTGTTTCAAAAATGAAAGGCAAAATTGAGAACTAATGCTTTACAGAGTCCAACATGATGCCCTTACTAAAGGTGGAAGAGGGAAATGACATCTAGAGGAAATAGTAAAAGAAGTGAGCAATAATAAATACTAAAATAAATTCTGAAAAATATGCTGCAGTACCAACAACTTGAAAACACTTAAGAATTCAACAGAGAAAAATAAGTAAGATATTGCCTTAGTTGTTTATGAACATGCAAAAGAGAAAAGAAAAAAATCTCTTTGCAGTGGCCTGAAGCAGTAGGGAACTAGTGAGTTAGAAAAAGTAAATCATGCTTTAAACAAGATATCCTACCACTGTCCTCAACCCATAAACACAACAGTATATCAGTTTTATCAGAAATTACAGAGAATGTTAAGCAAATTATACTTTGTAAAATATTAAATATATTTTTACAGTAAAATTCCAATACACTGTCTCTACCCAGAGCAGCTATTGCCTATGAGTAATAGTGGCTGATAAAGTAGCCTTACCTATGCAATGCCACACAAGACATTCTTGCTGAAAAATAATCTAGACACAAAAAAACTTCAGAGGGATTAGATCCAGCTCAGTGCAGCTCTCCACTCCAACTCCTACATCATCCTCAGTTTACTACCCCAACTCCTGCCATCATCCTTGGTATATTCAGCTCATTTGATCAACTCTTCCAACAATCCAAATTTATGACCCTTGACAACTTCTTATCCCACCATATTTACTCTTACAATAAACTTAAGCAAACTCGTAATCACTATCACACCCAGGGTCTGGCAACGGCTCTACCTGAAATCTCAAATTCCAAAATCCCACTCTGATTACAGTTCTGCATCATATTCACTCTCCCTCTGGATCATTTCTGCTATATCTGGGCTTCACCTCATTAAAGTTTCTGGTTCCAGACTACCATCCCTTTTTCCCAATATATTAGCTTCCTCTTGAACTCACTACTCTGTATAACTGGCTGAGACTTCAAGATGTTCCAGTTCAATTACTTCTATTTTTCCACCCCAGACTCTGCGTGCAAGGAATTCAATCAACCCAAAACTTCTGCTGCTTTCACACCTGGCTTGCCTGTCCAATACATTACTTTGACAACCATATTTACTAACTTCAGCCTGGTCCAAGCAGCGTTGACCTTCCATTATCAGTCAGTGGCCAACTGTCAGAACAGTGATCTCCTGTTCCTGAGTGGCCACTCAAAATATTCACCATCACCCTCAAAAGCTTTATCTAGGTGTGCTAGTAAACGTTCAATCAACAGCCCTTTGAAAAACAACACTAACAAAAAAGCCCAAATTTGTAGCATTTGCTGATTTTTAAACTGTAAATGTTCAAATGATGGGTGATTCCAAATTACTAACGTGACATCACTGAATGCAGAGTGGGGAAGCAACGTGTGGTAAGTAGCATACCTTCATATGGCCTTTTCACCAAATGCAACCTGGTTTCTGTTCTCAGACACAATAGATATAAATAATCTCAAGAGTATAATTAACAGTGAAAGGTAGTAAAATTATTAGGAAACCTTGATTTTTGAGTATTTATTACCTTCACTTAAAATATAATTTAACTATAAATTTATGTAATTTACATTTTAATAATAGCCATGTTTAACAACTAGCTCTCAAAATTCCTGAAAACTCAGCGGATTAGCTCCTATAAGCCTCAGCATGTCACTGCCTTTGCACCATTGCAAACTTTCATTTCTCTTAGCTGATGATCCTGCCTCATACTCTACTGAAACACATTCAAGATTGCCCATT